AAATAAGCTACTGCTTGTGTCTATTCAGGTGTACTACCTAAAACATATTAGACAGACTCCTCACGATCATCACTTAGCATTCTAAGTTTAAGTCTAGCAATAAATCTTTATTCATAGTTCGCTTAACCTAATGCTCTAATACCAACTGTGACATCCCCATTTTCACGGCCAGAAAAGACCGATTTTGTTTATGCTTTATAAAAATCAAAGTACCTCTTTTAATAAAAATGTTGCGGAATTTGTTCCTAGTAAAACATGATAAATACGTTATCAGAGCATTTCCGAAGAAAATTATTTTTATTCATTTTAAAACATTTGGGATGTCATCGTCAATACAGAAACATAAGCATAAACAGAACATACATTCATTATCATTAGTGATTTATATCTCTTTAATCTCTCAGTGTGATGTGACTTCATATCAACACATGTGATATAAATAAACTGAGTAGTTCAGGTTAGGAAACCTAGTGAGTACATGGGGTTTTCAACCTACATTAATATAATTATTATGTTTAATCTTCAAACAATTAATCAACCCAATTACCCATCCCCATTATCTTCTTTACTCTTAAGGATCTACCCTAAGAATCAACTATTCCCCGTTCATTTATTCCTAAGGATCATCCTAAGGAATTGACACGAAGTCCATCGTTACCAAGGTTTATAGATTACAACTGGTGAGCACGTAGTCCAAAACATCTGGTGAACACTTAGGTTCAAAAATAACTAGTGAACACACTTAGTTCAAAAATACCTAGTGAACACACTCAGTTCAAAATACCTAATGAGCACCTAGTTCAAAAACACCTACAGATTAGGAGCCTACTAGCGTTCCACTGGACTATCTAGTATAGTCCGTGGTCATCATCTATATTCCACTAGATGACTGGATCACTGTCAACATTGATGTCTTTCATCGTGTTATAACACAACAACTATTTAATCTACCCATGTTTTAGCCAACACATTTTGTAGATATAAAATATATATACAATTTAAATCATTTAAAACATGTATAAAATCTTTCACCCAGCATAGACATCAAGTGTTCAGACAATATGCACACATAACACGTAATTTGTATTAAAATACTTCATATCTATGTGTAAGATGAAAGGAACTATGCACTCACCTGTTGAGGTGGTGATTCCAAACTCAGACAACGCTTCATTACTCTTAAAACAATTTCCTTCGATAGAATAGCAGGTTTTTCTCAAAATCGGGCTTCGCTGGAGCAGCGTTTCCGAGCCAAAAGTTTTTCTTCTCGGAGCCATCAGACGCTACGGGGCTTTCTTCTCGTGTTAAGGACGTTCCCTAGACTTGGGAGGGGTTTAGGGAGGCTAGAGAGATGTTAGAGAGAGAAAGAGAGGTTTATGGTGTGAAGAAAATAGGAAGGATTCATCCTTTATTTATAGGGATTTTATCATAGAGTATCCTCTAAGCTTCGTCCGTATCTTCCGCGTACGAGCTCCGTTTTCTCCATTATTTATATCCACGCGTTAGTAGTTACGAGTACTACAACTTTTATTTAGACCCCATCGGCTAATTCTCATTGTATCTCAGATTTACGAAACTGTAGTCGAATTCGCCGCGCTTGAAGAGTAGAGACTAAGTTTCGTCAATATCTTTCACATACGAGCTCCATTTTCAATGTTATTTATATCAACATGTTGGTATTTATGAGCACCAAAACTTTCATTTAGACATCGTTGGCTAATTCTCATTCTATCTCGGATTTACAAATCTGTATCGAATTTGGCGCGCTCGAAGAGTAGAGACTAAGCTTCGTCCATATCTTTCGCATACGGGCTCCGTTTTCGACTGTCTTTTTATCGTTTAAATCCTATTAACAATATCTTAATTTATCGTTTAGATTATTTTGGCTAAAAATCGACCAATCTAAAATTCGAATTTTCGGGCTGTGCACTGTTATGCTAAATCTTTAGAAAAATCATAACTTCCTCATACGAAGTCAGATTTGGGCGTTCTTCTATTGGACGCTATTGATTTAACATATTCTACGACTTTTGTTTAGATTACTAAGTCTAAAATGTCATCTATCATAAATTCACTGTTTGCTTCTCCCGGTGTCGTGTCGGTTTTGCCAAAAAACTTCGACGGGTCATAACTTATTTGTTATAACTCGGATTTTGGCGTTCTTTATATGTACGGAATCCTTTTAACATATACTACAACTTGGTTAAGATTAATCCTTCTAAATAATGTTCCATCAAAAACTCATTTTTGATGCTTATTATCTCTAAATTGACTAGTCCAGATCCGCAGGCGTTACAACAAGATATGATATTTTTGGTGCTTTACCCTGTAAAATATCATAAAAATCGGTGTCGCTTGGAGCACATTCAGGTTATTGTTTGACCTTGCGATACCAAAGAATGCATGCAAAAACCATAAGTCATTTGAAACAACAACTTCCAAAATAACAGTCGACACCCTATGATCACTTCGCGTGAACTGACCACGCCATGTGTTTGGACAATTTGCCCACTTCCAATATGTACAATTAATGCCACTAAGCATCCCTGAAAAACCATGTTTAGCTTGATGCACGACATATAACTGTTCGACATCACTCTTAGTCGGATGTCGCAAGTACATGTCACGGTAAAGCTCTATAACATACTCACAAAATATATATGTACACTCTCGACCCGTCCTTTCAGATATTTTCAGATACTAATCTCACGCGTCTGTGGCGATGCCGTATGTCAATTGTCTAAGAGCGGCCGTACATTTTTGTATCGTACTAAAATTGTGTTTACCTCTAGCATCCCATCGTAATTGGAAAAATTCATGATTACATGCCAAATCTCTAGCTATACGTAAAAATAAATTTCTACTACTAAACGTTCTTCGAATTTTGATAGATCATATAAATTATCAACGGCAAAATAATCACGTACCAAAAGTTCATGTGCCGCCTCTCGATCTCGATTGATCCATTTTCTATGCTTCTTCTCAACGTTTGAACTTTCGCCTCTCACACGTACCATGTCTTGTACGTACACAAAATCAAATCCTCATCAGAATCGTTATCATTGGATGACGAAGAAATCGGATGTGGAAAATTATCCATTTTTTGGTTTAATGTGTTTGTTTGTTTTGAAAAATATCAGTGTGTTTTAATGAAAAAATATGGGTGTGTTTTGAAGTGTAAATTATAAAGAGAATAGTATGTAATTTATAGGTAAAGTTGAGATTATTTAAATTTTAAAAAATAATTTTTTTTATTGTTAAACGGTCAAATGGCCCATCCTACCAAAATCCAGCCATTGCAAAAAGAAGGTTTGTAATTCATCGTCTCATCCAGTCTACGGAGCCACGTCACGCACACCCACAAGACTTGGGGGCGATGTTCACGCATGGAGAGGCACACCATCTCAGCCCAAGATGCGTGAAATGACTCTTATGCCCCATACCGTTAGCCTTATTCAATATGTTTTAATTATTCATGAGTAAAAAAGTACACATTTTCTAGGGAAATGGACTTAATAAGGTAATTAATTTTTCGGTTTGTTCACATTTTGGTAACTATCTTTGTTTTGTACACATCTAGGTAATAAACTTTTTGGAAGTGTTCACATGTGACCATTATGACCGGCTGTAGCAGGTTACATCCGGTCATAACCTGTCATATGTAAACACTTCTATAAAGTTCGTTACCTAGATGCGTACAAAAAAAGATAGTTACCAGATGTGAACACACCGAAAATATAAGAGTAAATTACACGAATGGTCCATGTAGTTTGGGTAATTTGTGCGTTTGGTCCCTGACTTATTTCTTAACTTGGATGATCCCTACCGTTTATTTTAGTTGTGTGTTTGGTCATTGTCTTACCTCAAAAGACTATTGTGCCATTTTTTAATTTATTTTTTAATTAATTTTATTATTTATATATTTATTTTTTATATATTTTAAAAAATTAATAGACCCCACATATTTGTATATTCTTTACGCTAAACCAGAAACCACATTCGAGATATTTAAGCTTGATCCAGCCAGTCACCATTCTATTTTCCATCTTTAATGATATCAATGTCTTCACTATCCTTTTTTTTGGTCCTTCAACTCCGACAAACCAACACCATCACCCTTCTATTGGGTTGTGGTGGTGGAAACTTCAATGAAGAGACAGTGGGTTGTGGGTTGGTTCGTCAAAATTGAAGGACTGAAAAAATAAGGGACAATGAAGATGTCAATATCACTAAAGATGGAAACAAAATAAAAGTTGAGGATGATAAGAGATGAGATGGTGACTAGTGGGACCCAACTTAAATTTCTCAAATATGGTTTCAGGTTTAGGATGATGAGATGCAGATATGTGAGGTCCATTAATATTTTTAATATTTAAAAAATAAATACATAAATAAGAAAAAAAAATAAAAATTGCACAATAGTCTTTTGAGGTAGGACAGAGACCAAATGCACAACAAAAATAAATAGTATGGATCATCCAAGTTAAAAAAAAGATATGGACCAAACACACAAATTACCCAAACTACAGGGACCATTCATATATTTTACTCTTATCTTTTCGGTGTGTTCACATCTGGGTAACTATCTTTTTTTTTGTACACATCTAGGTAACAAACTTTTTAGAAGTGTTCACATATGACTGGTTTGTTATGAACCCAAGATCTCAACCCCCTGCAACAGTTGACCCAGTAGCCTACCCACGACCTAAAAGGACCACCAAGAGACCAGCACGTTTTGAAGACTGAAGCAGTCTACCACTTCCCTTATTTCATGCATGCATTTAGGAATAGATTACATCCCATGTTTCCATTAGCTATCATGTTTCTGTTAATTTCTCTTGCATTATTTGTTTTTGTTATTTAAACTAGGAGTTCATGAATAAAACGGGTATCAGAAAATTGCTTCAGTAGCCTTGTTTCCTTTCTTGTTCGTGGAGCCTTACCCCCTCTAAGGGTTACCCTAACAATTGGTGCTTTCATTCACGTCTCACCCTTCCACCATGCCACCAAGAAAAGACGTCTCATCGACATCAGAGGATCCTCCACCTACCATAGCAGACCAACTAACACAACTCATTGCTGCCACAAATGCCGCCGCATTGCAACACAACAACCACCTCAGTACCCTAATTAAAGCAACGGAAACTCTAACAGCTAAATTTGAGTCTCAATCTCAAACAACCGCAAACCTGGTAAACCACATTACAACCCTCTCTGACCAGTTAACGATTGACGATTCGATCGAGCACAACCGCCAGCCTCGCCACACTCCCAACCAACCACCCAACAACCCACCAATCGTGCACCCAAACAACACAATACGACCACCCAAAATAACATTACCCTTATTCGACGGATCAAATCCATTAGATTGGATTTTTCAGGCTGATAACTACTTTACGTTCTATCAAGTACCACCCACCCAACGTGTCACCGTCACAACATTCTACTTCACCGGAGACGCTCTTTCATGGTACAAACATCTCGCTCAAAACGACCTGCTAGGGTCGTGGACTCACTTCAAACGAGAATTAGAACTCCGCTTTGGGTCGTCTTCATACGAAAACCACGAAGCTACACTCTTCAAATTACAACAAACCTCCACTGTTTCAGCATACCAGACTGCATTTGAACGCCTTAGCAATTGGTCAATGGACTCTCTCAACAGAGCCTAAAGAATTGCTTTGTTTCCGGGCTTCGACAAGATATCCAAAATGAACTCACCATTCTCAGGCCCATTTCCCTTCATCAGGCTTGCTCACTGGCAAAACTAGTAGAAGATAAACTTGGGCCAACACCCAAGGCACGACCCACCACCAACTTCAAACACAGTTGGTCAACAGGACCCACAAGTATAACAACCAGACCTAACGTATCGCCTAGCTTCCCTCCGCCTTCACCAACCACTCCTACATCCACGAAAATAAACCCTATGCTACCTTTCACTCGCTTATCGGCTGATGCGTTACAAGAAAGACGAAAAGCAGGACTGTGCTTCAAATGCCCAGAAAAGTATGTTCCCGGCCATAAGTGCTCGCCACCACAATTCCTTATAATTGTGGACAACGACGACCAAGATACCATGACGGACGAAGCTACCTTCACCACCATCGAAGAGCAATCACCACCAGAATTCCTATCACTATCGGATGCTGCATTTTTTGGGATCTTGTCACCCCAAACCCTCCGTATTACGGGACACATTGCCAACAAACCAGTGAAAGTCCTCATTGATTGCGGGAGTACGCATAACATCGTCCAACCACGTGTTGCTTCACTCCTAAACTTGGATACCCAACCGGTCCAACCATTTTCAGTAATGGTAGGAAACGGCCAGCACATCCAATGCCAAGGATTCTGTCCCAACGTTCACCTTCAACTACCCCATTCTCGCTTCCAGGTACCAATTTTCATTCTTCCAGTAGAAGGAGCAGATGTGATCCTGGGTATTACTTGGTTGAGTACACTTGGTCGTCTATCAGCAGACTTCTCAATCCCAGAGATTACATTCATGCATGATGGCAAAGCATGCACATTAACAGGAGAATCTTGGAGCCAACATGTATCACCTAATACCTTATCTAGCTTGTTGCGCCAAGGCACTATTGCTTCGTTACACACCCTCAACTACAGCCCCACACCACTTAAAACCACCACAAAACCACTCCAGGACGACCACTGCAACCCGATAATAAACTCCCTACTCCAACGATTTCCAGATATCTTCCTTGAACCCAACTCCCTACCACCACCGAGACCCCACGACCATACCATTCCCTTAACAAATCCCAACACCACTGTTAATGTAAAACCTTACCGTTACCCACAGTACCAAAAAAAAATAATGACAGATCTCATCACAGAAATGCTCCAAAATGGTGTCATACGCCCCAGCCAAAGTCCCTTCTCATCACCCGTCCTATTAGTCAAAAAAAAAAAAAAAGACGGATCATGGCGATTTTGTGTAGATTACAGAGCCCTTAATGCAGTAACGGTACGAGACCGCTTTCCGATACCCACAGTTGAGGAATTAATCGACGAGTTGCATGGAGCCACAGTCTTCTCTAAGGTAGACCTGCGTTCAGGCTACCATCAAATCCGGGTAGCAAACAAGGATATCCACAAAACGGTGTTTCGTACGATAGACGGCCATTACGAGTTTACCGTCATGCCTTTCGGCTTAACCAACGCGCCATCAACATTTCAATCAGCAATGAATGACTTGTTTCGGCCAGCCCTTCGACGGTTCGTCCTAGTTTTTTTCAATGACATTCTAATCTACAGCTCTTCCATGGACAACCATTACAAACACCTGCAGATAGTCTTCGAAAAACTAAGAGAACACCACTTTCATGCAAAGCTGTCTAAATGCACGTTTGCCATGCACGAAATATTGTTTTTGGGACACATAATCTCAGCAAATGGAGTAACCCCAGAACCTGATAAAATACAAGCCATTCAACAGTGGCCACAACCTACTTCTTTTACCACCCTACGTGCCTACCTGGGATTAACAGGATACTACCATCGTTTTGTTCCTTTCTACGCCAAAATCGCTGCACCCTTGACCAACATCCTCAAACTCAAAACCTTTGAGTGGTCCACGTCCGCCCAGGAAGCATTTCAACAACTTAAGTCAACAATGCAAGACCTGATCACGTTAGCCCTACCAGACTTCGAATCACAATTTGATGTCACAACAGATGCATCGGGAATGGCCATTGGTGCGGTGCTTTCCCAAAACAACAGACCCATCTCCTTCTTCAGCAAGAAACTCTGCACTACTATGCAGAACCAATCCACGTACACCAAAGAGATGTATGCAATTATAGAAGCGGTAAAAAAATGGAGGCAATACTTACTGGGAAGACATTTTCGCATATATACAGACCACCACAGCCTCAAGCACCTCCTCACACAAACCATTCAGACACCCGAACAACAGAAATGGGTCACAAAACTAATGGGGTACGATTTTGAGATCCATTATAAACCTGGAAAAGAAAATTTGGTCGCAGACGCCCTCAGTCGGGTAGAACTACCATCGATACATGCCATCTCACATCCCACAGCTACATGGTTAGACGAGATCAGGAAATACTTCAAATACAATGAGGCAGGTAAACAATTGGTTGACCAGGTTATCGAGGACCCAACAACATTTCCACACCACTCCATCCGTGATGGCTTAGTCTATCGCCACAACCGCATCATGGTCCCTCCAATCCCACACCTTCGCAACAACCTCCTCCAAGAATTCCACGCATCATCGTTGGGGGGTCACTCGGGTATCACAGCCACAACCAAGCGCATATCAGCTGCATTTTCCTGGATCAACTTACGGAAAGATGTCTCAGAGTTCATAAGAAATTGCCAAGTGTGTCAAGCAACCAAATCCCCCACACATAAACCATTTGGCTTACTCCAACCACTGCCAATACCCGCATCAACCTGGGAAGAAATCTCGATGGACTTTGTCACTCATCTCCCCAATTCGAAAGGAAAGACAACTATATGGGTTGTAGTAGATAGGTTGTCCAAATTTGCACACTTTGTGCCATTGCCCACACATTATACCGCCATCCAGCTCGCTTCTATATTCATGAAGGAAATCTATCGCCTACATGGCTTACCTAAAACCATCGTTTCTGATAGAGACCCATTATTCTTAAGCCGATTCTGGAAAGAACTTTTCAAGAAACTCGGCACAAAACTCAGTCATTCTAGTGCCTATCACCCACAGACGGACGGCCAAACAGAGGTAGTAAACCGTTGCCTGGAGTCATACCTACGTGCTTTTGTGTTCAACGAACCGACCACCTGGCAGAAATACATCTATTTGGCGGAATTCTCTTACAACACTTCTTACCACACGGCCATCAAAATGTCTCCATTCAAAGCAGTTTATGGGAGAGAACCAATCTCAATTCACGACTACATTCCAGGAGAAAACAAAACAGCCTCAATAGATTCATCATTACTAGAACACCAACGAATAATCAACGACCTCAAAGAAGCTATCACCAAGGCACAAGATAGAATGGTAAAGCAAGCAAACAAGAAGCGGGCAGAAAAGGAATTCGAAGTGGACGACCTGGTTTACATACGTCTCCAAGACTATAGGCATAATTCGGTAAGGGACCAAAAGACAAATAAGTTAGCACGCCGATTCTATGGACCATACAAAATCACTGAGAGAATAGGAAAAGTCGCCTATCGTTTGGCTCTACCAGCAAACGCACACATTCATCCAATTGTCCATGTATCACTACTCAAGCAAGCATATGGTTCCAACAGTCCTTCATCTCAGGAGAGCCCTTACAAGTTTGAAGAAGTGGACAACGTTGCTACCCTTCCAGAAGCAATATTACATAGCAGAACCGACAACAAAGGGAACAAAGAAGTACTCATCAAATGGGAAAACAAACCCATGGAAGACGCAACATGGGAAAGCTACCACGCAATCCAGAAACAATTCCCATTTTTCACCAACATTGAGGACAATGTCGTTTCTCAAAATGGGGGTGATGTTATGAACCCAAGATCTCAACCCCCTGCAGCAGTTGACCCAGTAGCCTACCCATGACCTAAAAGGACCACCAAGAGACCAATACGTTTTGAAGACTGAAGCAGTCTACCACTTCCCTTATTTCATGCATGCATTTAGGAATAGATTACATCCCATGTTTCCATTAGCTATCATGTTTCCGTTAATTTCTCTTGCATTATTTGTTTTTGTTATTTAAACTAGGAGTTCATGAATAAAACGGGTATCAGAAAATTGCTTCAGTAGCCTTGTTTCCTTTCTTGTTCGTGGAGCCTTACCCCCTCTAAGGGTTACCCTAACAATTATAACCGGATGTAACCTGCTACAACCGGTTATAATGATCGTATATAAACACTTCCAAAAAATTTGTTACCTAGATGTGTAAAAAAAAATAATAATAATTACCAACCGAAAAGTTAATTACCTTATTAAATCAAAAATCAATTTCGCTATTTTCTACCAACCCGCGCATCCTTAATCCTAGAACACATTGAAACTAGCAAGTTGCAACGTTCTTTTTTTCAACCCTAAAATAAAAGCCGTCCCCCCCTTTTTTTTTTCCCCCTTCCCTGCGTGCGTTCACCTTCAGCCTTCTCCTTCGTTGGTCACCTTCATCCTTCTCCACTGCTCCCTTTCTTCAACTTCGCCGGACCACCTAAATATCGGCGTCGCCGACACACCAAACAATCTTCGTCGCTTCTACCTCGTGGAACCATCTCTTCAATACAGGTTTTTTTCTAGTTCTGTAATCTGCTAAAATCTGAGTGCTACGGTTCCATTGTTGCCTAAATGTTGTTTTTTCTTGTTGAAATCAGAAATTATTGCTAAAATCATATATTGTTTGAATCTCGAATCTTGGTTTGAAATGGGTTAAATGTTTAGTTTGAATACAATCGACGACTGCATCAAGTATTCTGAATATTCTTATTACCTATAAGGAATTTCCATAATGGAGTATGCGTATTAGTTCTATAACGATGGCATCCAATTCGGTTTCTTTTCGGACAATTCTGAGTGTTTTTGGAGATTATCAATGGAGAATATTTAACTAATTCCATTTTTGAAGCATTTTCGTGTAATGTAGTCCACCTCTTCTTCTGCAGATGAGATCCACACACTGCAAATGGCACTATTTAGAAACTCTGCAAACTCAAACAAACACCTTTATCATCTGTTTCACCTACAACACTCTCGGACATTTGTTAATGCTAGAGTTAAATGGGTAAGAGATACATACCTTGATCTTGCAGTTGAAAAAGAGAAAAACCTTCAACAAATCATCTCTCTCAAAAACCTATTCCTCTCTCAACCCTCTAAAACCATACCCCTTTCATCTATATCTCTTCACAAAACACTTTTCAAACTCCCCACCACAGCCACAAATTTCTTCCATAAATACCCTTCCATTTTCCAAATCTTCCAATCCTCCAAACCATTCCCCCTTCCTCAAGTCAAACTCACCTCACAAGCTGTAACCATTCACAATGAAGAATCCAAGATCTTGAACTCTTCTCATTACAAGAAAGATGTAGCTGAAAGATTAGCAAAACTTTTAATGCTCACACGAGCTAAAAAGCTTCCTTTAGATATTATCGATTTGTTAAGATTCGATCTTGGGTTACCTCATGATTTTATCCTGACTTTACTTCCTGAATTCCCTGAATACTTTCAGATTTGTAACATGGGTGATAAAAACTCAAAGGGTTGTGAAATGTTTGGTGTAGAATTGGTTTCTTGGAGAGATAATCTTGCAATGTCAGTGTTGGAGAAGAAAGTAGTGGAGGAAAACGGTGGGATAATTCCCAGAATGCCCATTAAGTTTTCGATAAATTTACCAAAAGGGTATGATTTGGAAAAGAAAGTAAGGATATGGATGCATGAATGGCAGAATTTGCCTTACATATCACCATATGAAGATGCATTCTTTTTGTCACCCAACAGTGATCAAGCAGAGAAGTGGACAGTGGCTGTGTTACATGAGTTGATGAATCTTTTTATATCAAAGAAAACAGAGAAAGAAAATTTATTGATTTTAGGTGATTATTTGGGATTTGGGATAAGGTTTAAAAAGGCATTAGTGCATCATCCAGGGATCTTTTATGTTTCAAATAAGATCAGAACACAAACTGTGGTATTAAGGGAAGCTTATAAGAAGGATCTTTTGGTTGAGAGGCATTTGTTGATGGGCATGAGATATCGATACCTTCATCTTATGAATCAAGTGATGAAATCAGATAGAAGATATAGACTTCGAATTAACAGGGGAAACTACAAAATGCAGTGAATATGCATTGTAAATAGTAATCATCAATTTATGCTCAAGAAATCGATTCATGTAGATGCATCAGAATCCCCATGGTAGCAATCATCAACCAAAGAGCATTGTTTATGTTAAGTTTTGGCCTTTTGAAGTTGCTTTAACGCCTTTTAATTTAGGGTTGAGTAAAAAGATGAAGGGGGATGGAGGAGACAAGGGCGAAATTGTCATCTTACTACTTAACTTAGAAGAAGACCCAAAGATAGAAAGTTACAAAACGTGCTGAATTTCTCTAGAGCTACAATTATGTGAGGTTTCTTCTTTTTTATGTTTGGGTTGAATATACAAATATTGTTTATTATTCTACTTTAGCTCTAGAATGTCATATTGTTAATGAAGTTGGAGATCTGAAATTGAAACTACTAAATCGAGCATTTTGAAATGATATCTGGTTTCCTTTTGCGTCTTCTTACTCAAAATAACATAGACTGATAGATCCTTATGGGTCATCTTGCTTATGCATTTCTTGAAAATTCATAATAAAAAGTAGAGCTTTAAGAATATTGAATTTAAATGCAAATTTCTAAACTTTGAAAAAGGTAAAACTTTGTCGTTTCCCACTTATACACCCAATGTAGTTAACCCACTTATACACCCAATGTAGTTAATCATTTCTATTTCATACAAAGTAATGTTTGGGACGTATAAGGGTGTCAAAAACCCGACCCCAGAGTTGTTCCCAAACAGGTGTAAATTTTAAAGTTTTTGGGTTCCAGGGAGGTGGATTTGCAAAAAAAAAAAAAAAATGTAAATTGTTAAGCCTTTTCTTGACTTTTCGGTGGTTGACGAGGTGAATTCACAAATTGGGTGTCCCCAGCTGCTCAAAACTTTGTTTTCATACATTGGTTTGATAATTGGAAGTAATATGTGCAAGTTTGAAGCTTGGAAAGGTATGGTTGATAAGTTACTTCATAATTGTCATGTTGGAAGGCAATGGCTTTATTTATATGTGGTTGTTGTTCGTGATTTTAGTGTTATTATGCCATTTTATGTAAATGGAACTAACATGTAAGCTAAGGGGCTTTATAATTTGTACTCTAATATATGTATGGGTTTCTGTGGAGTGCACGGATGCATATGATCGAATTAGAAGCCGGTTCAGACTACAAGTCGGGGGTCCGGGGGCAGCGTCCCTTTGGCGGGGTCTAGGGCAACTCCCCTAGTGGGGTCCAAGGGGCAGAGCCCCTGACTTGCTTTGAATTCTTGAGTGTGATTATGATAAAACTAACAAAAGTCGCTAGTTTTGGAAACCCTAAATCCTCATTAAAATCTAGATTACTCTGACTTGCTTCCAAAACAACCCATAACGACCAACCCTAAGAGGCAAACCCTAATCTCATTTATTAGATAAACGGCTCCTCTTTAAAAAACTAACTTACTATAGAAATTTAACTTCTAAATATGAAGGGCCAAAATGTAACTTAAAAAATGAATCATTTAAAAAAACATGTCAAAATGTAACGCCATGGAATCAATCTCATAGTGTTTAAAGATGTGATATTATGTGCCTTGCTAACTGAATTACATATGTTTTCGGAATAACTTACACCAAAATATTATCTTATTTCGAAATGCAAAAATATAAAAAAAAAAAAATGAAAATTTGAGGGTGGGCATAGGCCTACCCTAGTCTTAGGGTGGCTCCACCCTTGCATATACCCTCCATGCTTTGTCCAGTGTCGATTACTTACTTTTTTTTTTCTTGTTCTATGGTTGCTTTGATTTGGGCCAAAGTTTGTCGGGAGATGGTGGAGATTGAATTATCCGGTTTTTGATTCTTTTGGTGATTGGTTGGTTTGATTTGAAGTTTTGCGTTTAAAGGTTCTTGGTAAGGCTTATCTGGAAGCTATATGTTTCACAATTTGGTGGAGTCTTTTGTTCTTTCAAAAGACATTTTTTGGTTAGGTTATGTTTGTGACACGGGAAAGAACATGAAAAAAACAAGTTGCATTGCATTTGATATTCATTACATTTGTTTGAAGAGCGAGATTCATGTTTAATATGACAATAATCATAATTCTTGTTCCACTAACTAAAAAGTTGGGAGGTAAGCTCGCTCTTGATAACTTGCTTGTAGAAAAGATGTGAATGTATCTCATACTGATAATGAAAAATAACTTTAGAAAGTTTCGTCGGCGTCATCTCGTCCAGTTGAGGCTATTAGTATTCTATGTAATAGATGCAATTTTATTGTATGTTGTAAGAAAATATTTACCAATGTTTCCATTTTTGAAATTTCTTATAGACAATATTGGTACTTGAAACATGAATTCTCTCATAGCTATTTGACAACTCAAAAGACAATATTGGTACACTAAAACATGAATTCTGTCATAGGTATTTGATAACTCATCCAACATAAATTTTGAGACACAAAATTGTTATAAGTTATCACCAATTGGGATGTGAGTATTAGAGTAACTTATGCCAGTAAATATACGAAGGGTGAGAAATAAGTGGTCATGTAGTCTTTATCTAATTGATAAGAAGTTAAAATTGAAACATCGTAACATGAAATAGAGGACAAAGAAAAGGAAACTTCGAAGAAAGTCCTTTGTGTACAACATCTCACCTAATCCAAGTACCATAAATTTACCTCATAAAAGGTGTCGGTTATTAAACTCATACCTTATATGTTTAGTCAATTAAAAAAGGGATACCACATTTATACATAAAGACATCATTAACAACTTTTTAAAATTCAGTCTGTGTCATTATGAATCTTTTCTACGAAACTAACGGTGAATATGATGGTAATTTTTATCCTATATTATCTTTAGTTTATTTTACCTTTTTTTAATTTTGTTTTTTTATCAAAATGATAAAGATAAGTACAATATTTGGTGAAATAGCAACTCTTTCCTACCATTTACATCGTTTTTCATAGTAAACAATATAGATTACTGTTAGGGTTTTCAAAATATTCGAAATCAAATAACCGAAACTACAAAACTGACAAACTGTATCGATTTTTAGGGTACACAACTTTTTTTTTTTTTTTTTGAACTTTTTTTTTTTTTTCAGTTTGATTTCCGCTAAAATTTTCAGTTTCTAGATTCAGTTACAGTTCACGTTATTTACATTCGGTTAACCGAAAAACCAAAATTTTTATTCATTATTTTAGAAAGAGTAAAATTAACTGAAAATTATTATTAGTTATCATATAATACAATTTCATTTAAGGATCATCATAGTTTAACATTGACCTTTTTAGTATATAGTTGTCATTTTATAGTTTATTATTGATGAAATTGTAAATTTGGTCCATGTGGTTTGTCAAAAATTGGGACTTTGATCTAAAATATTTTGGAGTTGCTCCACCGGTCCAAAAAGTTTATTTTGTTGCGAGTTTGGTTCAAAAAATTTAAAACTTTTTAATATTTCTCTTTTTGTATTTTTATAATTATTTTACCGTTTTTCTAATTTTTTAAAAAAAAGAGGCAAAAAGAAACACCCCAATCCTACCCCACCTATTCACCCCTTATCTAACACCTTATGTTCTCTTAAACTTAATTTCTTCGCATCGTTGGCATACGATCGTCAGAACAAGTCGCCGGAAATCTGGGAACACACATGGAGCGGTCACTTTCGTCAGAGATCTGGAAAGCCCCCGGAGATTTGGAATGCCCCTCAAGCAGTCACCACCACTGGAATTTTGCAACATCAGTTTCGTCTTGCTCCTTTTCTGGAAACGAACAAATGTCTCCGGCGAAAAACAGATCTTAACCGAGAAGCGCGACAAACATATCTAAACCGAGAACTCCAAGCTATGGTTCACAAACCTTTATCTGTGAAAGAAAGAGCGATATTGGTTGGTTGCAGATTCAGAGAAACTGCGAGGCAACGACGACGTTGGTTGGTTACAGATCCAACGACGTTGTAGACCAATGTTGGATGTGGAGAGAATTGATTCAGATTTACGACAACAATAGATGTGACAGAGGGGGTTTGGATGATCTGGTGAAGATTGGAGGAGCATTGTCAGATCAAGAATAAGATGTGTGGAGGCCTAGAGATGGCGAAGATCTGGAGTTAATCGTGGTGAGATATTTGGAGCTTCTGGCGATTGAAGTGACTAAGGCTTCCGGCATATCTAAAGGAGTGAGAAGCATCACCACCTTTCTTTAACGGCAGTGGTCTGATTTTCCAGACCTAAACTCTAACGAACAGAAATAGGGAAGGGAGCGAGCGAGAGAGAGAGAGAGAGAGAGAGAGAGAGAGAGAGAGAGAGAGAGAGAGAGAGAGAGAGAGAGAGATAGAGAGAGAGAGAGAGTCTAGGAAGAGGTGGTTTTCGGCAGTAGTGGTGGTATCCGGCAGTGGTGGGGGTTTCCCATGGTCACGGTCATGGTTTTCAGCAATGGTGTTTTCCGGTGAAACTATATATATATATATATATATATATATATATATATATATATATATATATATATATATATATATATATATATATATATATATATATGGTAAGAATTTTTTTTGGTAAGAAGGTAAGAAATTTTTTTTCGACTTATTTTTTTGGCGAACAAAACAAATGAACCACTAAATGAATCAATAATAACATGATTCATCAAAAAAAATTCCGAAAAAACATTTCGATGATTCATTTTTATGATGATTTTGTTGATATTCATTAAAATTGTCATAAAAGTTAATTTATTTCTTGATTTACCTAAAAATGAATTATAAAAGTATTTTTGTCGGAATTTTTTCTTGTGAATCATCTTACTTTTGAATCATCTAATGATGCATTTCATTTTTTTGCTAAGAAAATATGCATATAAAAAATTTCTTACCTTCCTACCAAAACATTCCTTCTTATTTGATCTTGATTTTTTTTTTCTCTCTCTCTCTCTCTCTCTCTCTCTCTCTATATATATATATATATATATATATATATATATATATATATATATATATATATATATATATATATATATATATATATATATATATATATATATATATAT